ACGTTCTTGAAATTCACTTAGTTTATTGAAAATTTTGTCACGAACATTATCACAAAACCATCGCTGTAAATCCGTCGATACGTCCACAATTTCATTCTTAGTATTGAAGTATTTCAAATCTGTAATTTCTTCATCTTTGTTTGATTTTTTGACAAATTCTCCACAAAAATTAGCGTTGACTTCAATCATTGAAAATTCCTATCTTTTTGATTTTAATTTTGAATAGGATGAATGCATCTACGAAAAATTGTTCCAAGTCCTTGTGCACCAAATTTATAATGATTCCTGTTCTGATTCTACTCGAAAAACCTGATGTTACATTTCTCCACTGCACTCTATTTTTTAATTTAGGTTCCCAACCTCCGACCTCTAAACCACGATGTCTATTTTGGATGATATTCCGAAAATGTTTGAAATGGCCCATATTCGTTTGAAGCTTCCTCAATACCCCTATGGACGAATCATTCTTGCGAATTTCCTTGTTACATAATCTTATATATGTCCTCAAACGATTCAACCAAATTTTTTCATCTCTACTAGTGAAGTTGTCAAACAAAATTTTTCTCAATTTCCTAATAACGCTCACCAAATTATCAGATTTTTTTGCGATATCCATCTCTCAAAATATCTCACCAAAAAAAAAATTAAAAAACAACTAACTTTTTTTAGTTCTCTACAATTTCGAACGACGCTGCTGGATTGGTCTTTCCAGTTTGAACGTCCCCTCGGAACACCAGAGAGTATTTTCCACTCAAAAACACTTCGATGTGCGGTGAATATAGGGCTGTGACCCTATTTGGTAGAAATATGACGGCCTCCTCCAGCTCCAACAAAACTGCCTTCCCAAATTTGGAATGAACAACTTTGGCTGACTTTATTGGTTGGGGTTGTCCTATGGGCAGTTCGGAGAGCTTCTTGATGGGCTTCCTCTCCTCAATCAGTGAAGCTTCATTCAATTTTGTGAGATCCATCTGGTGAAAAGAAGAAGAAGGAAAAAAACATCAACATGCTAATACAATAAAATGCAAAGAGAAGCAATTCGGGATTGAGCCTTAAACACTTGAATAAATTAATCCTAAAAACTCAAAATAATATGAAAAATGCAGATAATAGAGGATCGAGCATGAAAAATTACCACTTGGATGATTTATTTACGATAAAACTCAAAATAGAATGAAAAAAAGGGCTAATTTCGGAATAATCGGTGACACTTGGCTAAATTATTTTGAAAAACTTTGAATATAATAGAAAAGGTCTATAATATATGTGAATAGAAATGAACACTTGAATAAAAAAAAAGGTACTTACTGTTATTGATTGTAGTATTTGCACACAAGACTAAAAAACGATAATTATTGGTGGTGATGATATTGGCAGGAGCCCAGGCTGAGTTGGTTCGCGTCTGCTGGCTTCCACAACTGGAGACTGAATGGTTATGCTGCAAGTCTCTCGCTTTATATTCTGAACGGGTGGGTAGAGATAAAGCATGTGACTTGTTAATTATTGAAAAACATGAATGCATAAACTGATAACCGTTAGTGATATGGAATGTTATAGTTATGCGCTCCAGAATGAATAAAGTTGTTGATAATAATATCTAACCTCATTTGCAGGAATTTTTCGAGCTTATCTAAACTATTGGAAAACACATTCGACGACATTTGCATGAAGTATTCAGGGTTATCTGAATTGTTGGAATAAACAGTCAACCGCATTTGCATGAAGTATTCAACGTTATCTGAATTGTTGGAAAAAACAAATGACCGCATTTACAGCAAGCTTCCAACCTAATCAGTAATGTTTTTTTTTCATTTGAATCAGAAATACGCAAAACAGATTATAAATGTTTGTTATTTATTTCTCTCTCAAGAATTGTACTATATTAATCGAGATTATTGCAACTAGAAATGCTAAATTGGTATATGATAAAATGTGTAATGTTACAAAGGATTTTTCTTGATCAACTAGGGCCGTTGGTGCTGAAGGTGGTGGTGGGGGCAATGTTGTTCCTGGATCTTCAAAAAACTGCCATTCTCCTAAATCTCCAAAGGTTCTATCGTCGAAAATCAATCGAATTTTATATTTCGTCTCGTTTTTCGGCACTTCCATTGAGAACACTTCCATCTGACCATCATTGATAAATCCTCTTCTCATAACCATCCACTGGCATGGTTCTTTATTGTAACAAATCCCAGCTTCTCTAACCTTATTCGGTACATTCACATACAACATATTATTCAGGATTGCTGTGAGTATTATGAAATTCCTGCGCAGAATGGCCATTATTCTGATGTGAGGGGGATGGAGATGTGGGTTCAATGCGTCGTAATGGGTATCTTGTTTGAGGTATATTACGTTTTTTTGTTAAAACTGTATCCCAAACACTCAAATTTACCAAATTTCTCAAGACCTTTTCCTTTTCTTCGTAAAATTCAATATCTTTGGCCAGTTCTCGCACCAATCTGCAAAATTCTTCAAGTCTGCGTCTGTACTCTTCAGGAGACATATTGGTACTGATTATTTTTGAGTATTACATCTTCCATATCTCGACCGAAAATGACATACGTCATCTGCCAAACGTCAAATGTCAGCTATCATAAGGTACACCAAATTTTTTGGTCGACCTCATGATGAAAAGGATTCACCCCCACATAATAACAATATTTGGAATGCCTCTATAAAAAAATTCCCCCTTTATTAGGCAATGGAATATGTTTTTTCCGTTCTATTCCACCGGAATGCAATACACACCCAGTATATAGACATATTTTCTTCTTTATTCACTATGAAAATCGGGGATGTTAGTATTATTATATGGCAACTATGGCAACACCACAAATCGAAAATGCGATCAACGTTCCAACTCAAATCTATTTATAATATTATTTTCCAACAACATGTCAGATAAAAACATCCTGTTTGTATATCAGTATCATACTGCAATTTCTAGGACGCTTGGTAGCGTAATGCGAGTATTGCCGCCTCATAACTCGAGGGCCGTGGGTTCGATACCCAGCGGCGACAGCTTTTTTTTAAATTTAATAATTCATTCCGACGATGATGGTGTGACGTCACTATCACTCTGTCTCTCTCTCTGACGCATTGGCTTTCAAGTTTCTCTCTCTAACACATGGTTTTGCCCTATTCCTATAGTGAGGCTGTCATAGTTTAACTACTAACATTTTTCACATCTTTAACACTCTGACTCAATTATTGCCCCACGTAAGTCCTATCTATCCTCGTTGCGCAATTTTCTCTAATATATGTATATTCTACTTCTCCCCCAATGTATCATTTCCCAAGCATCCTTTAATCTCAAATTTTGCACAAATTTCATTAGAATGTAATTGATGGGAGCATTTTCGTTTCTGGAGTCTTTTTTCTTAATAATACAATTAAAATCTCCTGACAAGATCATTGGTGTATTCATCTCGCAATGTGGAATTATTTGAGATTGGAACAGCATGTCTCTTTCCATCCGATTTTTTGTTCCGGATGGAGCATAAATATTCACAAAATGGACATTATTAATTTTGGCTAATAAAATTCGACCATCTGTACTACATAAAACGTTGGATACTTCAAAACTATTTCTATATATTATTGCTGTACCTCTTTCATTGCTACCTATATTTGTCACATAAGTAATTATAATTTTGATAACATTTCAACATATCTATATTGACTTCTTGGAGCGCTATAACATCCGCACTATTATTTTTAATGAAATCCTCTAGCAAACTCTGCTTATTCCGTTTTTTCAAACAGCTAATATGTATTGACGCTATTGTAAATATATTAATTATGTCAACGAAAGTGTGGTGGTATTCTAATTCTCTGGATTCTGTTCGTTATTCTTTTTGGGCAACCCTTACGTTCATATCCTGGCTGATCACAGAACATACAGGTTCTTATTTGATTATTGTATTTGACCACCCACTGTGCAAAAACTCGTACTACTTACGTTATTAAATAGTAACCAAGGTACATGGTTACGTTATGATTCTTGTCCCATTAACGTCTCAAAGACCGTTTTAGAGTCGTTATATGTCCACCAACATAACAAAATCTTAGTAACGTTAAATATGTTTCCAATCTGATATGTTAACGGGGACGACTTTGTTACAGCAAAAGTACTTTCCATTACGGTAACTACTATGAAACCGTAATAATTCATGTAACATCACAAGAAACTACTTTCTTACAGCAAAAGTACTTCCCTTGGGAGTTACTAAAATGAAACCATAACATATTCAGTCGTTTCTTTTCACGAGTTTTGAGATGTGAAAAGTACATTGTAATATACAGGGTGTATCAAATGTTGCACTTACAAGGTTCGTTTTTTTTGGGTCAAAATATGAAAAAAAAATCATATAAACATAATATATGCCAGGAAACGATTTTTTTCTGAGATACAATGTGTTCAAATTTCTCAATATTTTTATCAACTTCTAAAATAGTTTCCAACAGATTTTGACTAAGTTATCATAGTTTCTTGTGAAAAAAAATAGCATTCAGTAGATTTTTTTCAAATGTTTGTAATTTTTTTGGTTGAAGCAACTGAAAATACAACTTTTTTGGCTTGATTTTGTTCTTGATCAAAGAAAGTATCTTAAACATCATGTATCTTGGAAACGAATCGTTTTCGGACGTACATATGTTCATAGGAACTCTTTTCATATCTTGTCCCAAAAAATCTAGCCTTGAACATTCATGCAACATTTGATTAAACACCCTGTAAATAAAGTTGTATATTTCCAAATTTTCAAATATTGAAAATGGTTTTGATTGAGTAATCTTAAGTAAAATTCAGATTGCAAACTGATAAATATATATTGTATACCAATTAACTTTTTGGTTAAGATAACATGAATACTTATAAAATGAACAAAACAAAAACAGAAAATCATTTCTCAAAATGAATTAAAAACGAAAAAAAGGAACTTCAAAAATTGTATGCCAAGCAAGATCTGAGCTGAGAGTAGGGAGACCAAGCTCATTCAGTTTTTTTGCTCTCTCAGCAAACGCTGTTTTGAATGACGCAGCCACTCCATCACAATCTTATCGAACAAGCAGTCAGAACAAGAAAAAACTTTACAGACTGCACCTAAAACAAATAGGAATTGAAGTTCACAATAATAATGCCAAAAGCATTAATTACTACCTCGCATCAGTTTCATAATTGTAGTATCTTTGATTCGAAAATTGTTTTTTTGCCCTGTCCATGAACAAAATGTTCCTAAGGAATTCGTGAGAGTTTGTGACAATATACGCCTAAGAAAATCTGCTTCATTTTTTCCTCCACATTGTAAGTATTTTTGTACCTGAAAAAATAAAGTGAGTGAAATTTAAAGAATGTTTGAAACTTTTCTGTAACTGAATCTAGTGATTGATCAGACTATCAAATAATCTACCAATTTCAATAGCACAAAATGAATTTGCATCAGAACTAGTTATATTCAGTATTTTCCTCTGTGTATATACCAATGAATTATTAAATGATACTAACCAACTGCTTACATGCTTCCTCATTTGACTGTAAAAATTCGTCAAATTCTATTAGTTGGGCTAGTTCTTTCAATGGTAGGTAGTCTTTCATTAGATCTTCACCAACTTCTTGATATTTTTTTTGTCTGTCACTTTCCAGAGTGTTAAGTCTCAAGGTGATCATGTGTCGCTTGAAGTTCTACTAATTTATTCATGATGTCTGAATTTGAAACATCATCGACAGTTGCAATGGTTACCACATTGGACAAGTCTGTAAAACATGAAACATTGAAGTTGTATTTGGTAGAAAACTAAAAAAAATCGGTAGGTAAGTAGGTAGGTAGTTAGGTAGGTAGGTAGGTAGGTAGGTAGGTAGGTACTAGGTAGGTAGGTAGGTAGGTAGGAAGGTAGGTAGGTAGGTAGGTAGGTAGGTAGGTAGGTAGGTAGGTAGGTAGGTAGGTAGGTAGGTAGGTAGGTAGGTAGGTAGGTAGGTAGGTAGGTAGGTAGGTAGGTAGGTAGGTAGGTAGGTAGGTAGGTAGGTAGGTGAATGTAATTTTGAAAATAAAACAGGCTGTCATATAACGCCACAAGCTGTAACTCTTTTTCAAATCAAATGAAATATTCTTTTTAGGGTATTTTTTTCATGAAAAATTTCGTTCTTTTGTTGGTAAGGATAATTTTTTATACATTTCATCCAAGAGAAGTATAAGTAGAGGTAACTCACAAATTAACTCGAAAAACATCATTGAATTCAGTTGAGACCTGGATTCAGAAGGGACCTGAATTCAACAAATCAAAGAATATTATCATTTCTTTCAATAAAAAAAATATTTGTTCTATACATCATTCAGTCTATGTTAACAAATATTTTGTTTTTGGAAATCAGATGAAAATGGTACTGTTAATGTTTCAAGTTCATTGATGAGGACTGAATAAAGATCCATGAATTGAAATTATTCAATAAAATATTTAATTATCAAGTTATATATATGATTGTCTACCTTGGGAATTCTTCAAATTAATAGCCAAACTGCTATCATCACCAGTATTAGGTGGACTTCTAGAATGCATAGATGTATCTGAAAAAAAAAAATAAGTTGGAGGTATAAATAAAATAGGTATATTTTTCAGAACCTTGAGTAAAGGGTGAACTTCCACTAGTTGAGTCTTCTTCAAAAATAGTGCCGCATTTTGGTACTGTTGATAAAAATATACATGAATTAGAAATTAGGTATTAAAATAATGAGATGATGATCAGAAAGTAATCTTTTGGGCAGTTTATATTTTATATAGTCACAATAATAGAGATGGAGAAATCAATACCTTCTGCTAGTCATGGTGGTGGAGAATGAATAGTTTTCAATTTTATTTTCCTCTTTCCTGGCCCTCTCTCCAATGCATCCTCTGAATCAGATGATGCAACTGCTATTCTTTCAGCAGCAAGTGCTTGTTCATATGAAGCTGTAAAATAACACACACAAACATGTAATGTGTGGAGAATGCAATGATTTGAATGCTGGTATCTTTATGTTCTTTTCTTCAAGAATAAATATAGAGCAGGTAGAAAAAATACTCACAAAATTCTCCAATTATTTTGGATACTTTAAATAAAGGCCAGTTTTCATCAGCCGGAGACATTTTGATAATGAGTGTCCTCAGATTTTTATCAGATTTTGGCCAAAATGAATATATTTCTTCTGGGCCACTATCAATCAACCAGTTGATTGGAACAACTGAGATGTCGTTGGTATCATATTGAACTACTGCATACTGAAAATATCGAGGAAAATGTAGAACATAATTGATGAATTAGTATTAAATTCCTTTAAGCAATTAAGTTTTGTCTGAAATTAATATCTCGAATTAGTAGATTAACTACCTAGGGATAAGTGACTACTATTTTTACATAGAAAATGTAAAGCAATTTTTTATTTATTTACAGTAGAACTGAGATATTACTATAATACTGAATTTCTAACTAGGACAAATATTAATGTTTTCATGACTTCAAAGGAGACTAAGTGAATATAAATTATCAAGAATTATTACAAAATATTAGTTATACTTACTCATCACAAATTAATCAACTGTAATGTTGGTGTGAGTCCAGAAGGTAAGAAAACAAGGGATAAGGGATAAGGATATAGCAGCAGGAAATATTGACCTGTTTTTGTCCAAAATCAATACAAAAATGAGAATAAAGGTACTAAAATACTAATAAAAATTAAAGGTTACATTAGATAATCAGATTATGCTAATTTCTTACACTGAAAATTGTATAATAAGTTGATTATAATGGTCAGCTGTTTGATGCATTGATGTTCATCATACAGGGTGTGTAAAAAATTCTGAATTGAGAAAACCAAATCACAAATCTGTGATTAGAGGTCTGTGAAAGCAAATTTCCATCATTCAAGTTTGATCCCCTTGTTTGGGTATGAAAGTTTTGAAAAGGAATATTCTCAGATATACATATAATGAACATGGGAAAAAAACTTGATACCTATAAAGATATACATTGAGAATTCACACTCTTTCTCTGTAATTCAATGTTCGCCGTGACATATAGCCAGGAAAGTAGTATAGTCTTTTGTTGAATATACAGAAAAAGAATTCATATCTTTATCAGACAGAATGTGAATTCTCAATTTAATTCCTCGAAATTATGTAGATATTATATACCCTTTATTTTTCATGTTCATAATATATTTGAAAATATTCCTCTTCGAAAGTTAATAATGAATTTCAACACATTCAAATGGAATGAATCAAAGAAACTAGAATGTTATCAACCTTTAGTGCTTTCTGTAAAATGTGGTTTAATGGTGAAATGTCTTCATTAGGTGTCAACGTTTCAACAATACCACAATTAAAATTGAGAGATGGACAAGGTAATTCAAAATAACTCAGCATTTCTGAAAACTTTTGATAGTGAATGTATGGTTCACCATCATTATAAAAAAAATTCAAAATTTTAACTGCACAACCAGTTTTCAAAATACAATAACAGTTTGGTTCTTTCACAGATAGTTGTGAATGTTGATAAATAACCTTACTGTAAACTTTGAAATATTTTTCTTGAATGTTTTTCCATCCAATTTCGTTCAATAATATAGAATTTGAACTAATATTATCTGGAACCTGTTTGATGCAGTATGTTTCATATTCATAATATCTATTAATGAATTGTTGCAATGGGTGGTTACTTGTTTTCAAGGTTTTTTTTATTTCTGACATAAAACTTTCAAATTTAAAACAGCTGAATTGATCTAAAGGGCCAAATTTCCTTGCATCGTTGATTAAATGTAATAAATTATGAATATTGTGAGTCACTTGCTCTTGTCCATATATATCAGGAAATTTCCTCACAAAATATACTAACAGTTTTTCAGCATAGTCTAATTGTTCAGGACTTCTGTCATTAGAAATCAATATTCTGATAGCAACATGAAAAGAGAGAAAATGTGATAACATTGGTTCTTTCAGAAATGGCTTCATTAATCTGGGTCCATAGTACAACAAAAACTGTCGATATTCAGTTGCTTTCCACCGATCTAACTCTGATAAAGGTCTAGGAAGCCTAGCAAATTCTTTAATAGTATCCTTCCGATACTTTTCTAAATTTTGATTGATTCTATCAATTTCCTCTTTGAAAATTCTTATACCCATTTTTCCTCGAATCCAAAAAGTCAATAATCTCTTCATGACACCCAGGCAAACCAAGTGCATGTAGTCTAATGGTACTTGACTGACCAAACCAATACTTGTTTCCATTAATATTGTGCTCCCTTTATGAAAATTTTCATCAACCATATTTTTGAAGCTATCATCTGTTCTGAGAGGTGATCTCAAGTCTAAATAAGACATTCTATTATTTATATACTCTCCTTCTATAATACACTTAGTACAACCAAAGTAAGCATTATGACCCTTCACATTTGAAATAAATGCCTTAGCAGGAGCATCACACATTATTTTTGATATCTCAACCTGGTATTGTTTATCATGTATGATAATCTCATTATCCTCTAATGTTTTGATTTCATCAATCATAGGTCTCAAGAAATTATTACAATCATCTGGTTTTGAATTACCATGATAAGTTCCTACAGGAAAAGGCCTACTATTGGGTGTATTATCTAATGATGCCAGTATAGGCCAAAACTGGCTACAACTACTTTTTGTCAATGGTAAACCATCAATGTTGAGAGACACTGATAGTTTTTTATCCACAATTTCCTCACTTGTTTGATGTAAAATATTTTTCAGACCATTTTTCAAACCAAAATGATAATAAGAGCCTGGAGGCATATCGATTTTTTCACCTCTATTTTCCACATTGGTTTTCAGAAAAGTTCGACAATCTTTGGGTAAAGACTGAATATTCAGATCATTCCTCATAAAAAAAAGTAGTTGATTACAAGCATTATGACTGATATGGTTCACTATTATCCAAGACCTCAAATTATTTAAAAACTTTTCTTCTTTGGTTTCACCAATGATTTCAGAAATATTCATATGATTTACATCATCACATTCAACATCATGAAACATCGGAGGAAAAGGTGCATATTTATACTGATCATTTGTAATATGACTTGTACTGGGCAGAGCAGATGCTGCTACAATTTTTGGATTTTTGTTTTGAAGGATATCAGGTATAGGATGAGCAAAGGAAGTAGATGAAGTTGTGTTTTCCCTTTGAGACTGAATATTTTGTTTCATAATTCTTTTAAGTTGTTTTTTTGAATATTGTCCATATGGTTTGTTCAAACGCTAAAATGATAATAGTAGAGATCTATTATTCAGTTTGAATAACATAGATCTATGGTTTGAATCAACGTTTCAATCCTTCTATTAATTCCCTATGCATTGTTGAATAAACATTACATATAGGTACTAAACAGACTGAGAAAATCAATCATTAACTCATACCTTATTATGATCCATGACGGTGATATGGTGGAGATAGCTATTGCTGTATCAAATCTTATCAAATAGTTGAAGTAGTTTTCTTGGGCCTAGAAAAATCAGATATACGATATTACTTGCAATATATGGTCTAGAATATGGACTATATAATATGAGAGACTGGGGTATGAGCATTAAAAGAGTTGAATCTTCATATAAATGATATGGTTCAAGCACCTGGTATGCATGAATGGTCACTTTAGATTCCTCAAACATAGCATATAATACCAAATGCCACGACACATCTTTTTGTTATCTTGAACAATTTGAAATAACGTTGATGCAAAATTATGAAGGAAATCCATTAGCAAATTCTGAACTACGAAAATGATAAATGATGCATTTTCCACTTTATAAAGTACCTATATTCCTACCTACCACATATCACATACCACCAATATCACATAATCGGTAATTATTGTACTTATTACTTATTATTATGATATTTCTTCTACTTACCACTTTTATTCCAAAATTTGAAATAACTCCAAAGACTACTAAATAAAACAAAAAACAAACATCAACTGAACGCACGACCACAAAAACCGCGGCACACCTAGGTTTGAGGTTATGAATAGTTATGTCATGTCATGTCTCATGTCAGGAACTTGCACGGAACTATTTCGTAATCATTTTCATAGAAGTTTCGTTACTGTTCCTAAATTGTAATATGAATTATTCTGTTTGTGTTCCGTTATCGAAAAAGAAAATTTACGACGAATATTATGTGTTAAGCACCTATCAGCTACATCACTATTATTTTCTGCTGAATGTATCTGCGACTTTCTCAATAACGTCATTGTTATCTCACTATCATGTAACGACAACAGCTTAAGGATGTAAATGAGATGTGATGAGAATTAAATCACCTAAACGCTCTTAAGATGTTATAAAATTCGTTTGTTACGAAATGAGGTTGCGAAGTCATTTCGGACTGTACCAGTGTTGACACAAAAATTAACGTCGCAATATAACATATTCAAAACGTACAAAGGATATATTCTCAAAAACGTTATCATGGGTACAAGGTTTCAACGTTAACCAACCTCCCGGGGATGTTTCTTGCTCAGTGGGCAGGGAAGTTATCCCTTATACTATCATATATGATGGCACTGGGTTTTTCATTTTCATTACTGCTATTCTAACTGCATTTTCGACTGAATACATTTCTTCTCCTGAATATATTTCATTCCTGATACTTTTAACCTCTCCATATTCTTCTAATATTTTTACAATCTTCTTATTCTCCATTTCCACCATAAAATCAAAAATTCTTAGCTGAATTTCTTCCGATTCTTCCGATATATACCTATATTTCATACTCTTCATCTCCATCTGTATATTTTACGATGCCATCTTCATATTTCTGTACTATTTGCTCTACTAGGATTTCATTCACCAATTTTATATACACATGATATTTAATATGATCATACTGTAAAGCTTTTATTTGATCCACTGTGAATTCGATCGTATGTTTAATCTACGCATGTAATTTGGATGGTATTGGTTTTTCCGTACATTTTTAAAATTCAATGTTATTGTGTTTTGCCTTGCCACCGGCATGCCTCGCACAAAAAATCTTAATCTGGTAACTGATAGCAATATATATATTTTTTTCTTTATTCAACAACTTATTTACAAATTTTGTCTTAAATTCTAGTTAA